GTCGGGTTGAAGGTCAAGGTCGACGTGTCTTTATTTGTCTTTGCGCTCATTGTAGTTTCTCCCATGGTCGTAACTAAGCTGCGCTACCAACTATTATGAAACAGCCTGGAGCTGTCTCTTAAACTACGAGTAGATCGGTTTATAGATAGTTCAGCCTTAGTGGATAGGCCTAGTCTATCTGTCGTATTCTCGATGTCTAAAAAGTGTTATCCTTCTTCAGGGATGTCTCAGCCTCACGCTCCTTTATAGTTCGGAACCCTTCTATACAGTAGGTGAGGGGTAACCCCGATCAGGAATGTTTAGACTCTTCGTCCTTCGTATTATACAGGATGCCCAGAATCTATAATCTGGCTCATGTCGTATCATAACAGTTTGTGAGTGCGTTTGAAAAACTCAAAGATCCTCTTGAAGTCCGCATATCAGTTGTATGCACTCATATTTGATTATCATCCTTTGCCAACTCGCAAAAAGCTGTGTTTCCTTTATATATATAATCCAATATATAAGAAGATGCGAAATTCTTTTGTTTCTGATTGGGAGACCGCTGGTGGCTGAGAATAAAGCTTCTTGTAGTAATCAGTGGCAAGTGTGATCATTTCTACCGTGTCTTCTTTCGAGAAGGAAGCATGGAATCTTTCAGCCAAAGCAACACGCCAGAACGCCGTGACGAAAGGATGTCAATTGAAGATCAAACGGAGTCCAACTCCCATCATACAAATAAGGTCACCAACAACACCAAGACATCCAGAATCTTGTACTCAACAATTCACCACCAAAAGGGATCTACCATTCCTAACTCACCATCACCGGCAAAGAGCTTAAACCTCTTCTCCACCCCGGGGTCCAGGTCGTGATTGATGGAAGGGGACGGGCTAAGTTTCGGCATTAGGTTCGTATCTGGGAGCTGTTTAAAGGCTCTTTACATATATTCTATAATTTTGTTCTTACATCAGATCAATCTATCGAAAAATAAAAGAGAGCTCTTTAACGCAGCTCTTTGTTCCTCTAAAAAAGGACCTTCTACCTCATACAGATATTTTTTATGAGTCATGACATTTTTGAAAGATCTCGATCAAAAAGCAAAGACATAAATAAGAGTCATCTAGAGAATTTATTAGTTTTCAAATTAAATACGATGGTGTTCGATTGCTACACCAGAAACATGCAATTAATCTCACCACTGGGGGGGAGCTGTTTGAAGGTTTTTTATATATATTAGTTATATAGATTTGCCCCTTTATTCAAATAAATCTACCAAAAAAAAAGACAAAGGATTTTCTCTTTTATCTAGAAGCATTATTGACGCCTGAGGCAATCAAAACTTCGATCAAAATGTTCAAGTGAAGATATGCTCGTAATTTTTAACCGAATAAGCTCAAATGCGGAAAAATGCAAACGCAACTAGACGATTCTGATTCACAATAAAAACTTGTTGATAAATAGTATGGTGATTGCACTCGGTGGGAGAATCAATCGCTACTTCAGATCTTCACCCTACTTGACGACAGGAAGTCACAAGGACTTTATCACCGATTAAATGCTGCGACAAAGATCTCGATTAGAGGCATTCTCAGATTTGTTTCAGAATATTCTTAATGAATATTTTGATCTCTGCATTTTTGCTTGAACACATTGACTGAAGGCCGAAAACCTTTCGGGTTTTCTGGCATGTTGCTGCCACATTTACAAAACAATTTTCCAGTTTTTCCTTACTTTCCAAACAGTTTTTTTTTTCCTTTTTTAAAAGACTAGGTACAGAATTCGCAAACCAAAGGAGTATTTTGTTTTGACTCACAATGACATTCTGTGCTGTCTGCTTATTGAATTCGCCATATAGCTCATGTTTGCCGCACGTAATGCTCTGGCACAATTAGCCATTTATGAAAATTAGACCTCTACATTTTCCTCCCTTCAGTTAATTCACCTCATAGTTTCCAATCACTTAGCCTCCTCCAACTCAAACACAATATTGCCATCCACCTTGGGGTCGTATGGCTTCAAAAGAAACTTGGAAAACTTTTTCAAATTTGGCACGCCACGGATCTCGCTTCCAAGTAACGGCATCTTGACCACGTGGTAGTCTTCATACAACTCGGCCATCTGGTCCAAATACTTTTTCTGCATCTTCCAGCGGGATTGGCACCGTTTGCAGTCGTCGGACTCGGCAAACAACAACTGGTTCACTACAATGGAGTTAACATCCATATTGTAGCTCATCAACTCCTGGATCATGCGCTCGGTTTCGTAAAGCGACAAGAACTCGGAAATACACACACACACAAATGTGGTCAAATCGGGGTTAGTGAACTGCTCGTTAACGACGGCCACGTTTTCTTCAATCTCGCTTAATTTACCAAAAATGTCTTGTTGCTGAGACGCTCCGCCACCCAACATGTTCAACATTGGGCCCAACTTTCCGGACAAGTCCTTGAATTTGGACAACAATTTTTCCATGGTGGCGGGGAGCTGCAAAAAGCGCAACGTGTGACCTGTGGGTGCAGTGTCGAAAATGATGGTTTTGTACGAGACGGCGTTCTGATCGGTCTCACCGTCAGCCGTCTTTTGGTTTTTAATATGTTTCAACACCTCCATAAAAGACAACGCCTCGTCAATACCTGGAATGGAGCCCGTCATGTCGCTCATCATGCTCTTCAAAGGATCGTTAGGATCACTGTTGTATTGCTGAGCCTGGTTCTGCAAATCGGTCATGGCCGCATCAGGGTCAATTTCCATACACGAGAGGTTGGCTAAGCCTTCGACTTTTCTAGCGTCCTTGCCGAATTTCTGGCAGAAGGCATCCGACAAGTTGTGAGCTGGGTCCGTAGAAATAAGCAAGAACTCTTCGTTTGGGTATGCCAACGCCAATTGTGTGGCAATCGAGGAGGAGGTCGTGGTTTTACCAACACCACCTTTTCCTCCGACGAAGATCCATTTCAAGGAATCTTGCTTGATGATAGACTCAAGCGTTGGTTCGAGTTCGAAATCCATCTCTGTCGAATACAGGTTTAGATTGCAGTTATGTAATCAAGAGTTTCACAGTTTACACAGCAAGACTGATTGTTTCTGCTTTAGTAAATAGAGAGCACGGTGACGGATTCGTGGAGTGCAAGAGGAGAAGTATTCTGGGAGATTTCGGGTGGCCGATTCTGGTGCGATTTGTGAGATCCTGGCCAGAGTGAATATTTCTGCAGTGTTCCACGGTTTCCTGCGTCGCGGGCGGCGACCGAAGCTTCCATAAATACTGACTAAGGAATGATGGGAGACTCTAGCTTACTGATTTTTTTTTGATAATCTCGGCTCTGTTCGATACAGCTGATAAAGTAAATAAATTTGAGGTTTCAGTCGCAGCTTTCAATTTATATTTGCGAAAAAAAATTGTACAATTTGTAGCCTTTCGCAATACTTTTATGTATTAATTGAACAGCTGGCTGACTAGTGATTATGGAAAAACCCATGAGATAATAAGAAGGAAAATAAAGAAGCGGTGGCACAAAACAAAACACTCTATGTTTACATCTTATACAGGCCTCATATATTTTTATAAGCCAAGAGTTTTACTGATCCTATAGACAGCCCTAGCGAATGAAACATCTGAGACCGTGTACTATGAGATCATTCAGTTTCTCAAGAAGCCAAATTAACTCAACAGCTGTATATCTAGTCACCTCAAAATTCCTCTTGGGAAAAATTTCAACTCAAATTTTTGGATGCATACAGTCAACTGTAGGGTAGTTATCTCTCGAAAACAGCCGTCTTTGGGAACAAACTCGAAACCTACTGAAGTGGTCGCATAAATTCTGGTCCATCTATATGACTACATTTTTCCACTCAGACGCTATGTTTCTGAGTGACATGGAAATGGAATAGGATTAAATACTGCTAAATCTGGAAGTAATTCACGGGCAGCAAAAGTCTATTGGGCAAGAATCGTGTGCGCAGAACACATGTGCATTCAGATAGATGGTCAAACAAACTTTTGTGGATGCTTGTTTGCAATTTTTTTGATTGTCTTTGCATTGAGATTTGCATTTGTCTCTTCGTTGGTCCACGAACAAATATTGGCCACGTGCTTCTCGCTTACACAAGACATGAGGAGAGAGTCCTCCAACACAAGTTCGCGGTCCAACTCTTCCCATTCACTTTTTTCGGCAAAAGGTTTTTTAGCTGGATCCACAGTCCACATGCGGACTTTTTCTTTGGTTGTTATTGTGGAAATCTCCATCACGGGCCTTACCTGGTGAGCCTCGTAAGCACAGATCAAGTTGTAGTTGGTTTCAGAATTGATTTCCTGATTGGACCGGAGGGTACCCAGAAATGTGTACACCGGAAGTGAACGAGTGATCTCTTGTACTAGAATGAGAATGCCCATAAGTGTGAACGAAAGCTCGTACATTCCTCTCCCCACACCCAGGGTCCGGCAACAGGGGGCAAGAGGTATCCTGTGGCGGGTAGAATTTGATTTCAGAATTAAAGCAAATTCGTTGAACTTGAAGGATTTCCACAGCTTGAGGAAACCTGGTGTGTCGGGATTGGAGCTGCCTATGTTTTCCGGTACGTCAAGTTCTGTGGGGATCAATACGCTTGATTCGGTCTGACACTTGACCTTGACATTTGGATAAAACGACAAAATCACATCGAGTTCTTCAAGGGTAATGTTGCTGCAATTCTGATGGGTCAAAAGCTCTATGTCGGCTTGTCTTTGGGTAGAAGGCAAGATATCTTTTCCATCTTCGAATTGGAAATTGGTCGAATACACAGACCCTAGGAAGACAAGACTTGCTGCCATAATCCGGAACCCGATCATTGGAGAAATGATATAGCTGATTTTTGGTAGACAAGAAAAGAAAGGTTTTTTTTAAAAAAAAAAAATACACACCAAGGAAAAGGCCACTGGTGGGTCGTTTTTTGGGTCTGCCAGACATGATAAAGGCATAATTTTATCGCGGCTGCAACAACTTGCACACAGTCAGCCACTGCAGATGTTCGCGACGGTATTGCGAATTATGCCACAGGCATGTCAAAATTACATTTTACCGCTTTTTCTACACCTCTTGTTTCGTCCACAAGCTTAAGACTTGTGACATAAGCATATAGCTTATCCTCCAGATGCATACAAAGACGTTTCACCCGGGATGTACGGGTGTGTGTATTTCTAAGTGGATCTCAAGTAAGTTTGCAATACGTGAGGCGTAATCGGGTGATGACTTATTTTGGCAAAGGTTCTTGAGAAGAAAAGCATTGATTCATGCATTTCATAGCAAACTTTCCTGGCCAGGGTTCTAATCATGTCCTGCATGGGTGTGCTACTGACAGCTGCGAAGACCATCGCCACGTTGTGCGTATTGAAACACTAACCACTAAAGCTTGATACGGTCAGCAAGCAGGCGTGGAAGGGTAAAAAAACGAGCAACAAGTTCAAACATAAGAACCAAATTCAGAAAGTCTGTGAGTAATTATCCCGCGCAAAGGATTGGGGTTTCGTCAGGCAACAAACTACATATATTATGCATACACGATGAAATTTGCAAAGGTTCTTCAGCAAACTCTCATCGAAGAGGATCTTCCCCAAGAATGGGTGGAGGCAGCGATCCAGTATAAAGTCCTCAAGAAGTGCATTAGCAGGATCGTGAAGGAGCTTGCATTTTTGGGTCTTTCCCAGGCAGATTTGAAGCTACTCTTACAAGACGAGGAGCTGGATTCTTCCATAGAAGTTGCTACCAATGAGGCCACTCCCAACAATCCGATTGTAGCGCACTACACTTTGAAAAAAGCAAACTCTCACATTGTGCCGTATTTAAAAATCGTGCTCAACAACAATGAGTCGAATCAGTATTCACCGGACCGTATCCAAGAACTAGCCGGGCAAATCAGAGCTAAGTTACACTCAGTCATGTCGACGGACGACGAGGACCATCACATAATCGAACTCAAGGAAGACGAAGATCTGTTTGTGCTTTCTCCCACAACGTCAATACGCGAGGAAGACGCAGAAAGCATTGTCAAGGTTGAGAACCACAATGAGATTGTGATCATGCTAAACTCCGATTCCAAGTTTTTCCGCATGTTGAGTCTGGAACTCGAGAAACTCGACGAGATCCGAACCTCCGAGGAAAAGAAGTTGATTGACGAAATCGACGCTCTTAGCAACACGGTGCTTCTGCTCACAAGGAAGAAATCCGACCTATACACATGGCGAGAATTCTTCCGGATATATCTTGACTCCGAAGTGTACTTTCGGTATAACGAGACGTCCCAGAGTCACCTGGAGCGATCTTCGGAGCAAATCAAAAGAAACTTGCAAGACTTTGCGGACCGGGCCAAAAAGGCTCGTATATCTGAACGCTTCAAGAGTAAACTGGCAGTTTCTGCCTACAACAGCTTCTTGCAGATGAACACGCAACTTCTCAAAATCATTCTGTACCAGTCGATCAACAGCACGGCATTGCGGAAGATTTTAAAGAAGTTTGATAAGCGCACGTGCTTGAACGTGTCGGGCCGCTTCCCAGATCTTATATCCAAAGACCATGTTTTTGTACACGGCTCCTCAGTGGCGCAGTCAATTTGCTTCGTTATGCAGAACAAGTTGCTTACTCTTGTTCCACAACTCGACGACTACACATGCCCGATATGTATGTCCATTGCGTTTAAGCCTATTCGACTAGATTGCGGCCACATCTTTTGTGTACGGTGTCTTGTCAAAACCAAACAAAGGGGAAGAACGGACTGTCCGCTATGTCGGTACCATGACGCCATTGCCATCGCAGACTCCAGCAACTTGGACTTGGATGCCATGGAACTCATCAAAAAGAACTTCCCCAGAGAAGTGAAGGAGAAGTTGAAAGAAATTGACCAGGAGCGGTATAATGAATTGGTGAAGCACAAAAATTGTGTCATATCATAAAGGGAGCAACTCAGGCCGACATGGGGTATGTAATGTCTTGATTTTTACATCACATTTGTGTCGGGCCACCAAAAAATCGTGGCAGAGGGTCAGAAAAGAAAAGGGATTGGAAAGCGCCTTCACAAGAATGTGAATTCGGAGCTAATATAAGTCCCGTTCAACGCAAAGAGCCTCGGTTGTGATAATACTACTACACTTGTGGGCTAGTGTCAAGCCAAGGGCGATACTGGGCTCTGGGATAAATTTGAATACGCTACTGTTGTGGCTTACTGGAAAAGGGGTCGAACTAGCATGAAAATTAAGTTGCTTATTTTTTTCACTGAGATAAGCCGTCGAATTCTGAAGCTGCGTGAGAATGCGATACGAAAATGTAGTCTTTCGGTTATACCAAAAAGCTTTGTCTTCTCTTGTGAGGTTAGTTTCAAAGTAATTTTGCATTTCCCAACTTTCCCTTTTCTTCACCAAAAACTCAAGGATCTCATATGCCTGCAGTTTGAGCCGGACTCCGTGAGGATTATTCCGTCAGCACACGCAACTGGTCCCACCTATAGAACTGTCATACATCAGTGTATCTGACACATATTCCACTCTTTTGCATGAAGCAAGCTGGTAAGTATCTATGACAAATTGGAAATGAAATCCATTTGACTTATTTATTTCAATCAACAGCTCGCGTGCCCCGAACTACTGATCAACCTTTTAGCCAGTATTGGGTGCGAAACGATCTGACCGCGCGAACCTCCCCATACCATATCAATATGGCAAGACAGATGTGCACCGACTTCGTACTAATTCCCACTTAGCCCAGGAACACCGGAATGACTCTGCGCGAAACAGAAAGAAATACAAAGTACGACCGGCAAATCCGGCTATGGGCTGACAACGGCCAGAAAAGATTGGAGCAAGGTCACGTGTGTCTAATCAACGCCAACCCGGCAGGCGCAGAGACATTGAAAAATCTCGTGCTTCCTGGAATTGGCGCGTTCACAATTATGGACGATCGGACAGTATGCGAAACAGATCTTAGTGGGAACTTTTTTTTAGAGGAGGAGCACGTGGGTTTGGGGATCGCTGGCGCTATGACAGAGAGTCTCCAGGAATTGAACCCCGATGTGAAAGGCCAGTTCTTGGAGATTCTGGTGGATAGAGCTTTAGCAAAACCCGAACTATGGACTCTGTTCTCAATTGTGGTGGTAAGTGGGTTTTTGAAACCGGATCTAGTTCGGCGTTTGGCGGACTTTCTCTGGGACCAGCAGGTCCCGCTTTTACTCGTATCAACCAGTGGTTTCTATGCAACTTTGCACATCATCTCCAAGGAAACTACTATAGTGGAAACGCACGACCCCTCCAAGACATTCGATCTTCGTATTGACTGCCCTTGGCCCGAGCTTGCTGCTTTCAGTGCCTCCTTTGATATGGATCTGCTAGACGACACAGAACACGCGCACGTGCCATACATTGTCATATTTATCAAAGCGCTAGAGCAGTGGAAGGCCGACCATGGTGGCCGAGCGCCTCTGAACTACAGCGAGAAGCGGGAGTTCCGCTCAGAATACGTAGAACGCATGTCTCGTAACATCAACATCGAAACAAACTTCATCGAAGCGGCCCAGTCTGTACACAGAGCGCTCCAGATAACTCAGGTTCCAAACTCACTTCGGCAACTCTTCAACCGAGACGAGGTAGTCAAGGACGGGGCGAATTTTTCGGATTTCTGGCTTCATGTGCGAGCACTCAAAAGCTTCATTGACACCAATGAAGGGCAGCTTCCGTTGCCCGGCAACATTCCCGACATGGCTTCGACAACACACAATTACGTGCAGCTCCAGAAAATATACAGAAACAAGGCAGATGCCGACAAACAGAAGTTTACTTCGGAGCTCTCCAGAGTGTACACAGAGGCTGGGCGATCGGCAGACGAAATCAACCCTGGATTCGTGGCGAGCTTCTGCAAAAACGCTGCATTCCTTTTTGTGTCCAACGGATCAAAGTCGCAAGTTTCCGAGTCACTTATTCGGCAGCTCTCCAGAAAGGATGGCGCCGACTCCAGCGCCTCAGAACATCACGATTTGACAATATACTTCGGTATTCTCGCGCTTTATCAATGGATGGACGAGGGAAAGACCGGGGGCTTTGATGCGTTTATCAACTGTTTTGAAAAGATCACGTCAATATCCAAGGAAGCTCTTGCGCCAGCAGTCAGCAACTTTTTGAAGGAGTTATTCATTCACGACACACCCAGCTATCATAACATTTGCAGTCTCATTGGTGGCATTGCTGGGCAGGAGGCGTTAAAGATTGCGACAGAGCAGTATATCCCGTTGGACAATCTCTACATATTTGACGGTGTCAGGTCCGCCAGCTCGAAGTGGAGAGTGTGATGCTTTGATTTTGCACATAATATCTAGTTAAGATGTTCTATAAATCATCAAAGGAGCCTTGCATTCCAGTGTCATTTCTCGGTTTCTTGCTCTGCCTGACCAAATCCTTCCAATCAACCTGCGCCTCCTCATCCTCCGAGGGCTCCTCCATGATTTGCTTTTCGATGGCGTCTCTCTTTTTCTTGTTCTTCTCCCGCCGGACCGTCTTCGTTTCCTTGGTGTCCATCTTTACCGACCAAGCCTCGTTCTTTTTCTTCAAAAGTTTTCGTGCCTTTGCATCATTTATCTTTTGCATCTTCTCAGCCTCCATGTTTTCTAACCGGGCCTTTTCCTTGGCCTCGTCGGCGTAGGCGTACTTGTCCATGTCAAAGTCTTCCTTGATCAACCAACCATTTTCCGGCATCTTGTCCTTCTCAATGTACCTTGTTTCAGGCATTTTTGGGAGCCTGAGTAAGCCATACATTTTGGCAATGCCAAGATAGTCAAGTGACAGCATCCGAAAAATTGATGAGGCGATATGCTTGTGGTAATACCGCACAAACCCCACATATGATTTAACCGCAAGTTCGTGGCGGGCCCTATCTTCGAGCATGAATATCTTGCTTTTTTCTTGGAAGTCCGTGTGAAAGTCCTCATCGCATGGAAGTTCCAATTCAGTCATATCCACTTTCTTCACCTCCATTAAGCCGACAAAATCCTCTTCATTGGAGTCTTTATTGAGCATAACAATCGCCCTTCCGGCCTTATTGGCCCTGCCTGTTCTGCCACATCTGTGGACAAATACGTCTGGGTCTGTAGGAGGATCGAGCTGAACCACCAAATCCACATCGGGAATGTCGATGCCTCTTGCAGCCACGTCGGTGGTCATCAACACGTGCTTTGCCTCTAAGGCGTCGCCTTCAGTAAAGCTTTGAAGCGTTTTGAGTCGGGCGTTGGTGGTGAGCTGGCCATGTAAAGAATGGAAAATGAGTGTCTTCTTAGGTGTGAGTTCTTTCAAGAGATTGTAGAAATGCTTGACACCGGTGCACGTGGGGAGATACACTATACATTTCTTGAACCTGTACTTGTGAAGGAGATTGAGAAAAGAAGTCAACTTTTTTTCGGGCTCAACAAATGCATACTGGATTGTCAATGATGAAGGCGCGGCTTTGGAGGACAGTTTTGACTTGACGGCAATTCTGACCGGATTATTCAAGCCCGTATTGAAAACACGGGATCCTGCTGAAGAAAGCGTGGCGGAATAGAGTCCAGTTCTTCTCTGGTTGGGCAATGTCCTGAGAATCGAGAGAACGTCATTTTCAAAGGACAAATCTAGAAGCTTGTCGGCCTCATCAAGCACGGCCACTTCCACGGAGGACGTGTGCACTTTCAGCGACTTGAGTAAATCTAAGAGCCTTCCTGGTGTCGCCACGAGAATATGGGATCTGGTCGTGAGAAGCGTATCGAGATCCTGTCTCACAGACGAGAGCGACCCCACCACCAATTGCGTATTGATCTTTGTTTTCAGCTCGGGCAAGAACTGGAGCACGCGGTCAAACACGGCTTGCGTCTGACTGGCCAACTCCCGTGTGGGAGAAATAACAATGGCAAGCATATGGCCCTTTTTCACCGGATCTGGGCTCTCTGTATCTTCAGCATGGCCGTATAGCCTATTGGATATGTGCTGCAACACGGGCACAACAAAGGAGAGAGTTTTGCCGGATCCAGTCACGGATTCCACAATCACGTCTTTGTTCTTCGAGAAAAGGGGAATCGTCGATGCTTGAACAGGTGTCATTGTAGGGTACTCCAAAGACACTACAGCCTCATATAGCCATGGATGGAGCTGCGACTCGAGGGTTTCCCACAGTAAGGACGACATTTTGGGGAAAAATTGGAAAATCTTGTTTTTGCCTCAAAAGATCCAAGCGTGTTTGCGAGAACTGGCAAGGTCAGAAAATTAAAGCTCTTTTTTTGGTGTGTTCGTGTGGAAAAATGGCACGGGCTGTTAGGCTTGACTCAAGTATACTGAGATGAGCAGAGATGAGCTGGGTCGCACTGATGGAAAAGCTAACTGCACTGGGCCTTTTTTTTCCACCAGTTCGCGCACCGTGGTGCATGAAGCATGGATAGGCATTGCCCCAAAACCTTGGAAAAACAGGCCTCGGATTCTGAATGTTCAGCAAACTTCAAAAGTTCATAATGAGTCTGTCCAAACAGCCTGTGACATCGGCATGCGAGTACGAGAAGTGGCTGAAAACACAACTCATTCGCAAGATCCAGGAACTTGAGAACGGAGGCACCAGTCCAGCCGCAGGGCAGGAGTCTGCTGCCGATTCTAGCGGAACTGGCGGTGATAAAGACACCTCCAAAACCGCTCTTCCTCTGCAAAAAAAGCGCAAGTTTGATTTCACGCGGTTCCAGACGCGTTTTGTGGCCTTCAGGTTCGCATACATGGGCTGGAACTACAACGGACTCAACTATCAGTACGAGCCCACGCCTCTTCCTACAGTGGAAGAGGTTATTTTGCAGGCAATGAGCAAAGCCAAGCTTGTCACAGATGTGGACCCCGTCGCCTCTGGCTTTAGCCGATGTGGCCGCACAGATAAGGGCGTGAGTGCTTTGAACCAGGTGATCTCGTTGAATGTGCGGTCGTCTTTAACGAAGGAGCAGCAAATGGACCCCGCTAATGACCTGCGGGAAATCCCTTACGTTAGCATTTTGAACGCGCTCTTGCCCTTGGACATTCGCATAACAGCGGTATCTTTGCGTCCACCCCCAAACTTTGACGCTCGTTTCAGCTGCTCGTACAGACATTACAAGTATCTTTTCTCGAAAAAAGGCTTGGACTTGGAGAAAATGGAAGAAGCTGCCAAGATGTACGAGGGCGTGCACGACTTCCGCAACTTCTGTAAGATTGACGGGTCCAAGCAGATCACAAACTACTTCAGGGAAGTGTACTCGGCCAATATCGTACACCAGGACGGCGACTTCTATGTGTTTGACTTGAAAGGCTCGGCGTTCTTATGGCATCAGGTGCGCTGCATGGTTGCCGTGCTATTTTTGGTGGGCCAAGGACTAGAATCTCCTTCAGTGGTGAAGGAACTACTTGATATTCAGAGATACCCGAGCAAACCATTGTTTGAAATGGCCAACGACTTGCCCTTGGTGCTTTATGATTGCGTTTTCCCTGAAATGGAGTGGCTTTCTGCGGCCACTGACTTCGACGGGGCGCAGAAACTCAAGTTGATGAGGGAACATGGCAAATTCAACGGCTTGCTTCTCGAATACCAATTGAAAGCGCATGTTGCATCCATGGTGGGGGAAGTTTTCGTCAAGGAAACAGTCCAAGAGAACTCCGAAGCCCATCCTAACGCCGGCGCAATCAATCTAGGTGATGGAAAGGGGCGCAACTACAAAACGTATGTGCCGATTTCGCAGCGAGACTTGGGCGACGATGTTGCGACCGTGAATGCCCGGCACAAAGAAAAACAAAAGAAAAAGGGAAATAAATAAATTCTTGCTATGTATGTATTGACTGGGTGGCTGATCCTAGAGTTTTACCGATCTGTAACATAGGTCTTGATATGCTTCGATATGTAGCATTCGAAATCAAGGGGACGGAACTTGTTTTCCGAAAAAAGAATAAAACGCAATGAATGAAGATGGCTGGCGGAGTGAGCTGATAATCATGCCTGCTTTTGCTTTTTCTGCATCGTATTTTCTTGGGCTCTAATCGTCCTTGGGATGTTCGTTTCAGATGACTGATGTAAGAGATCACCAACTAGGGTTGCTCTCAGGCCTCTGGGTGAGTAGTGAACATTCGGGCAAACTAGGATAAAGAGGATTTGTGAACTCGATTGTGCTTTTATTGACCCATGTTCGTTCTGGGTATTTTTCTGTACCGATCATTTAAAGGAGCCCGGCCGAAGCCAGACAAATACAACAATTGAAAAATTAGAAATGATTTTGAGAGAAGACCCCGGAAAAGGTAAGCACTTTTATGAGTCTGAACAGAAGAACCAAAAAAATGCTTACTTTCGTGTTACACATTTCCTCTCATCAAGTATTATCCTTGAACTGAGCCAGGAACTGAGGTCAGAGCAGATTTATTGAAATCTATACGCCGGCGGAATGGAGGTGTGCCATTGGCTTTGACCCGATGAATCATATACGGTTTTCTGCTTACTGCGTTTGAATTGTTATTGGTTTGCACTCTTGGTGTTTTTTTTTGTTCTAGTCACTCTAGGCTATCACAGATGGCTCACATTGAGAGCACTCAGTTCTATAATACCAAGTGCGGAGCGACTGAAGTAAGCGCCATGCGCGTCATGCGAGCCGAGGGCGATGAAGAAGGTCATCAAAGCAGAACGAGAATTGAAGTACGGAGACAACAGGAGACAAAACCAAAACAACAAACAACAGGATCAGAACAAATACAACCGGAAAAAACACGACCACTTCAAAAACAACAAAAAACCAAAACACAAGCACCCAGAATCGGTCTCGGTGTGAGCCTATGGAAGAACACCGTGTCGATTCCAACAAATTTTGCAGTCAAGCCTTCAAATCGGCCCCAAAGGTGAGAACAGCTCCTTGAGTATTTAAAAACACCCTTCTCACGCACATCAGCCGCACGGAACTGAATGCGCCGGATAATACTTTTTGTTTGGCCCGTGACGTAGATATTGACCCAGAATATCGCCTACCAGCTTGTCTGCATGCGCGGTCCTGTACCTCGGCTGTTGCAATCGAGCCGAAGATAAATACCAGATGTAGGCCCAATTCGGGTCCAGAAACAGACCTGTCTCTTTCGCTACGCTGGGGCAAAAACCAGAGACATGGACTTGGATATAGCTTTGAATCAGTTTTCGGGCATTGGCGACGTCGCCCCGCCCCGGGAAATCGAGGTCCAGACATCCTCCGGAGTTAATGGCACGCTTGCAGTGCCTCACTCGGTGGACAAGGCGGATTTTTTGCAGTTGGGCTATGCGCCGCCCACCCACAAAATGGCGGTCATTTTGCACGGCCAGGGCGGCCACCGCAACTACTGCTACCAGAAAAAGTTGGCGCACAAGTTGGCCGCGGAGTTGGGCATGTACTCCCTCAGAATCGACTTCCGGGGCTGCGGGGCACTGGCCGATGTGGCCGATTTGGCCGTCGGCAGAACCCTCCAGCTGGACGTCCAGGATATCCAGGCCGCCGCGGAGCTTGTTGTGGACGCTCGTAAAAACCCACTCAATATCTGTTTCGACTTGCTGGCCATAGTGGCGCATTCCAGAGGTTCGTTGGCCATGTTTCTCTGGGCCGTGGAACAGGAGAATCTCTTGCAAGACCCGCGCACCGCGGCACGTGCTATCGCCGTTCCAAACCTCATCAACTGCTCCCTGAGATTCCGCCTGTTCACGGTGCTCGACCGCTATCCGATCCACGAAAAGGGGTTCGAGTGGATGGAGCAAAAAGCACTCAGGCACGGCGAAATGAGGCACGTGCGGATCACCAACGACGAGCTCCAGTCGCTCGCGTCGGCCGACACGGCGCAGTTTGCCTGCTTGTCCCCGCAATGGGCTGTTTTGAGCATCTACGGGACAGAGGACACCATCATCTCGAAACAGGACTGCGCGTACTACGCCAACATCTTCAACCGGGGCCCTTACACGCACCACTTGGAGCTTATCGACGGCGCGGACCACAACTTCTACGGGGTCAAGCCCATGGAGCACGGCGCGGAAATGCCCGTCTCAAACCCGCACAACTTGCCGCTTCTGAAGAACAAGGTCATCAACTACAACTATGTGGTGTGCGCCATGGTGGTGAAGTATCTCCGGCCGGACCAGGAGTTGCGCCGGTTCCAGGCCATGTCGCGCCACATTGGCGGCTTTCCCCGTGTCAAGCATGTCGATGGCATCTCCAACTTCCGGGACTTGGGCGGCTGGAGAGTGTACAAGCCCACGTTCCAGACCCAGCTGGAACTGGCCTGCAAGTACTTTGTGCGTCCCAACCTCATGTACCGCTGTGCCAACCCAGCCGGCGTCACCGAAGCAGGCTACAAGACGCTCCAGGACTTGGGTGTGAAGGCTATATTCGACCTTCGTTCAGAGGATGAATGCGCCAAAGACGGCATTCCCGAGGACCTTGTTTCCGTGGGAATTGAGCGCATCCACGCGCCAGTTTTCAAGCACGAGGATTACTCCCCCGAGGCCATTGCTCTCCGCTTGTCCCACTTGATCACGTCCTGGCACACATATGTGCAGATCTACGCCCAGATCTTGCAAAGGGGAGAGGACCTGTTCCGTACAATGTTCGAGCATCTTCGAGACAAGCCCCACACACCGCTTTTGTTCCACTGTACTGCGGGGAAAGACCGCACGGGTGTCTTTGGCATGTTGGTGCTCCTTCTCGCGGGTGTGGATAAGTTCACGATTTCGAAGGAATACGCGTTGACCACGTATGGTTTGGTGCCTGACCATGCGCGGATCAGAGAGAGGTTTTTGGCGGGCATGAAGAAGACACAGAGCGGGGAACAAGGCGAGGCCTTGGCGCAAATGATCCTCCAGGGCCGCAAAAATTGGTCCATCGAAGTGGACGGCTTCAACAATCTCATCAGCTCTCGTGCCGAGGCAATGCTTGCTACTATCGAGCTTTTGGACACTGAGTATGGTGGCGTTCTCGGCTACATGGAAAAACACTTGAAGTTCTCCAAAGAAGACATCGAGGCTATTTTCTGCAATATTGTATGTACAGACTTGGCGCATCCAGATGGCCAAGCCAGACGCGTCGGTGACTCCGACAGCGTGGCCAAGTTATGACTAGCAGCATGGCCGGTGTCTGCAAACGAGAATTTTACATGATTGGAAGGGGCCTCTGCTGAAAAAGGATCTTTTTTTCAATGACGTCGACGATCTTCATGTTCTCTCCGGAATTCTCAGCAGGCACCCGGAGCACGCCTAGAGGATTGCGCAACGGCTCGACAGTACCTAAAAGTCGCTGCGACGAGCCTATAAAAAGTACGACCTTGGACGAGTCCTTCTCGTCAAACTCCATTTTTCCAAAGCGGACTGCGTCATAAATCCCGTCGACTTTGGCAAAGTTTTTCAAATAGTCTGGGTCCATCCCCTCATGTGACACTGGTGCAGATAAGGGAAGATTGAGCTCGCCTTGGATTTCCAAGAGCGAGAGACCGAAGGGCGTCAGCACAAAACAAGAGCCATCAGGCAAAATTTGGGGCTGTAAATTCAAGGCCTTGTGCGCATCAGAGTAATCTATCGCCGTGCTGGGCATTTGTAGATGGTGTCTTTGAATATGGCAGGCCTGGGACCGGTGCGATGTCCATGCCGTTTGCGCGTCGCGCAACAAAGGGCAGCAGACGCGACATGTGATCACTTTTTGTTAGAATGAACTTGCGATAAATCTTGACACGTTGTCTTTCACAGTGAGTTTTTCTTGATCTTTTTACGATACGATATTGTTTCTGATCCAATAGTGTTGGCGTAAGAGGATATACTAAATAAAAAATAAATTTTCTGACGGGGCAAAACTGTGTATTTGGGAGATGAATCTTCGACGAACATTCACAACCGCGACCAGACTACAACTTTTAGACATATCAATGACTAGAGGGTGTGGGCTTTCAAATCTCGTTCGGCTTTGGTACAAAAATAAAACCCATGCCGGGACTCGAACCCGGAATCTTTTGATTAGAAGTCAAATGCGCTAACCATTACGCCACACAGGCTTCTTTGCATTAAACTGTTATGATACGACATGAGCAAGATTATAGATTCTTGGCATCCTGTATAATACGAAGGACGAAGAGTCTAAACATTCCTGATCGGGGTTACCCCTCACCTACTGTATAGAAGGGTTCCGAACTATAAAGGAGCGTGAGGCTGAGACATCCCTGAA